GTTCCCGCCCGCGAGCTTGCTCGTCGGCCAGGAGAGCCCGCCGCCACCGACAGCCACCCCTGGTGCAGTGTCCCGGCCGCTGCTCGCTTCCCTCGGGATACCGACGCAGCCAGCGCAGCATCAGCCTTCGAACACACCGGCTACCACTCCCGTGCACACCTCCGACACCAGTGAGTGAACCAACCGATCAATCTCTTCGGACGCTCTCTTGCAGAGATGGTCGCGCGCGCGATACTCGATCACACGAGACGGTTCGTTGCCGTACGGCGAATCGCCGACCTCGATCACTGCGTTCATCGCGATCGCGTCATGATGGCGCGCGATGACATTCGAACGAGATAATCGACGACGCTTGTTCAGCGTCGCCCCGAACACACGTGGATTGTGACTTTGCAAGTTCAGCGGGTCAGCAGTGTTCCTAGATGGATCTTTTTCTTTTTTGTTTTTAAATTAATATCAAAGTAACTTTTTTTTTCATACGTTATGATCTTATTCTTACGTATACGGCACTGCTACGCTATAAAATTGTTTTCTTTTTCTGGATCGATTAATGAATGTATTTATTTACTGGTTGATTCTTCGGCGTTGTATGATAATGTGTTATTAAAAATATAGAGTGAAGAGTTTTTTTCGTTGTTTCATATTGCAATATTTTAGGTTCGTGTTTTATGTGAATTATTATGGGAATTTGTTTTCGAGTTTCATATTATGAATATGATTTTAATACAGTTTAACTGTTCTCTTTTATTTAGCCGATGTACATATTCGTTTGTTCTCTTCGTTGCAGTAAGTAAACTGGCTAGGACGAGAAGTACTTGCTATATCTGTCTTACTTAACAGTTTGGGACGTATAAATACCGATTAGCAATGTTCGTGTTCGATATCCTCGATATTCGATACGATGATCTAACGTATCCGATTTTCTATTGTTTCGAATTTAGAGGTACCGCACGTAATCTAGTTTATCGAGAAAATAAAAACAAAGAATCAACGTTTCAGCCATAATTCGTTTTCAAAGAGTTGCGTTCTCCCACTTTCTCAGAGTCACAGGGAAAGGGTTGCACGAATGAGATCAGGTAACCTGTTAAGGGACCAGCGCAACAGGAGTTGAAAAAAGGGAATAAAAGGTTAACGAGTCCGCTTTAATTCGATTAATTACCCGTTGGAAGCTTGCCAAATCTCGACAACTAGCGGACACTGCTGATCGTTACTTTGGGTCACCGAAAAAACAAGTACGCACACTCTCGTTCAGAATTTGCGATTAAACACCCTCGTAACGGAAAGTACGCGCGCGAAGCGTTCGTTGTTCCATTGAAATCGAAGAATCCTTTGAAATATCTTTCGCTATTTTAAATACGAACGATCGCAAATTCTCGCGCACTTTGCGCGTTAACCTCTCGAGTCGGCAAATTATTAGGTCGGTAATTAATTCGTCTAAATTCAGCAAGTTTCTTAACACTTTCGCCGACATGTAGATATTTTTGCAACGTGCTTGAAAACCCATTTCTAATTGTTGTGTAGTAATACAACGTGTACGATAAGTAGAGTACCGTGTTACTGAAATTATTATCTAGATCCTAGATGGTGGATATATTATGTAAATTCAGATTTCTATGAACGCAACCAAAGACGAAAAACTTATATCCAAGAAAATGTATTTTTTCACATTGTATAGATTTTTATCATATTTGAATTTTCCCATAAACATCCGCAGTATCGTATCGTATCGTACAATGTACTAAATTTCGGTATATGATCTTTATTAAGAAACGATTACAATCGTTTTGCCCGCCAAAGTGTTAACAAATACGTACAGACAAACGATAATGTATTAACAAACTGATACGTATACATCGAATTGCCATAAACGATAAAGTTATGACGACGTACGCTTCTTGTACCTACGCGAAACTGATTTGAGGGGTTAATGAACATTCATTGCGTGAGAAACTGCACGTAAGCTTAAACTTCTTCAAACAGCTGTTTACTTGGTACATTTTAATGTCGGAAAATCGCGTCGATCGTCGCGCGAACGCGATGTATCAAAGATCGAGGCGGACGCTCATCGTCCTTTCTTCGAATCGCGTTTAATCTAGTGGTCATAGACGTATACGCATGACCCGGGTCACGCAGGGTATATTATCCATCTACTCACGACAGTGTACAAATGAACGTATCGGCGTCGAACATGTTCGTTAGACGATCCAATGTACGAAATGCTACAAGTATATCGTATTGCAATATACATTTAAAACATAATATTTGAAATTTTATATACCAGCGAACGAACATCAACGAAGTAGATTATCTATTGTATATAAGTAGCATGGTGTTAATATTTTCTTTGTTGTTTGTCTGGATAAATTTTCAAATTTGGAAATTTTAAGTTGAAGAATGACTTCGTTGCTTATGAGTACCGTTTCGAGGAAACAGAGTGTAACACATTCGCTGCTACTGACGCATATGTTACGTCAAATAAGTTAGTAGCTGCTAATTGTTGCATTTTAGTTTCTCGACGGAATCGTTTAGAAAGATGAACAAGATAGTGACGTATTGGAAGAAACGCAATTTTGTTTGTAACGCAGATGTTTCTTACGAAAAAGGAAAATATGAATCGAAGGGTAAACTGGCGTATTATAGTAACAGCGAATGTAACGATCGATAGCGACAGTTTCCTTAATTTTATGCGGACTGTGAACTTAAAACGATTGAAAAGCCGGAATCTTCGACAAAAGTTCAAACTATTAATCCAAATTAGATATAGGCCAGTGAAGTGGAACCAATTTGAAAGTAAAAATCCTTTAAAAATCTATCATTGTTTCAGAAATCTGGATATCTGAAAAAATCTAACGAATTCGAATAGAATCTATGATATTTCGAAATGAAATAAAATATCCTTATTTCAACTATTCTAAAAGAAGTATATCTTTTTACTCGTAGCATGAAAATAATTTCAAACTTCCATTTGTGTATTGTTATCGTTTACTACGGGCGTTCTTATATCTCTCGATCGATGACTGGCAAGATTCGTTTATCGAATTTTTCACGCGTGGCTGTGGTACGCATGACAGCCGAGCGATTCGCGTGGAAATTTCGAGGGATTCGAAGACAGAGGCAGGAAGGGCGGGCATCCGCTGCAAATATTCTCGCGAGACTTTAGGGTGGCTCTGGCCAAGCTGGCTGCCTTTGTAAGGGTGGGAGCTGCGGGGATTGATAGCTACCTCGAGGGTGGCTTTTTTCGCCGGCCGGCCATCACGCTTGCTCGCAGATATGGCGTCGGCTGACAACGTTCCACCAGCCAGAAACTTGCTTCGGAAAAGTGACTGCTTACGAGATCGAACTTCCCTCGTCGAGTGGAAATTCGTAGAGAAGTTCCGCGAAAGTCGTGGAGAACGTTTTTGTAGCGATAAAGATTTTCGTTCATCGTAAACGATAAAGAAATTCATTTCTCTTTGTTTTTTTTCTTTTTTTTTTCTAAGAAATGTTTCATTTCTATCGTTGGATTTGCATCGCGACACGTTATGTTTTTGACAGTGTAACATGCTTTAAAGCTTTCGATACTTATTTAAGAGATTAATCGTTAGTCATCTTTGGTCTTTCATCGAATCAATTTTTTAACCATAGCTAACACTATAAACGACAAAATGTAACGAAATAAAAATCAGTATTTTTTTACGTTTGAAAAAATATTCATTGTATCTTGCACCCTTGCATGACCAGCAATCTTTGTAGATACTTTTCTAACGAGGTTCGAAAAGTGTGTAACTCTTTTGTTGTGTAACTTCCCTTTGAATCTATGGACGGGATATCTTGCAAGGCGATGTTTAAAAATTTGGTTTATGCCAAAAGTTTATTCCAAAAAGTTGTAAACGGTGGGAATCTCAGCCAAATCGTCGTAAAGTACTTAACGACGTTAACTATAATTAAACGTTGGATATGTATTTTCACATATTTTTAAAACGAAAAAGGAAATATTTTATTTTTTTATCGAGTACAAATTAAAATTTGTAGTTGCTTCGAGAGTGCCATACGATATTTTTGTTCTTTCTTATTTTAATTTAAACATTTTGACGTTGATACTTAACAAATAAAATGTTACTTTTAGGTACTTAAAAAGTAGATACGCGAGATATCTCGTTAGAAAGCATCGAACGACGACGTCGCATCGCGAGTTATCTCGATCGTAAGTGCAACTATTTTTAAATTAAGCAACTAAAGAATCGTCTTTACGATAATTATCATTGTCTAAGGTAAAATTTCCAAATCACGTTCGCTATAATCTAAATAGTAACTCTGCAGAAAGATTCGCAAATTGCCAAACGACGCTCAGTCGCGATGGATCGTCTCACGAACCGTGTTCAGACGCAGGCGGAACGCACTTCAGCAGGATTCGCTCTAACTACGTAGGTCCTCGCGTAATCTCGTTTGAGAGACCGAGCCTCTTTCTCGCAGACTTTACGAAGGGTTCAAGGATACAGCGTTAGCTTTAGGACTCCTCCAACTAGTCGAACAAGAAAAACGTGTTTCTCAAACCGACTCCCTCTCTCTCTCTCTTTTCCTCTTCTCATGCTCCACCAAGGACACGACGATATATTTTCGTCGTCCATCGAGCACGTTCTCTATATTTCTCCTCCTGGGTACGAAAAAGGGGTGGTTCCACCCCTTGGTCCAAACTCCACGCGATTCTAGATTAAGACAATCCAATCTGTAGCTGGTAACGAAAAGAATAAGATGAAGAAGAAGAATAAGAATAAGAAGAAGAAGAAGAAGAAGAAGCAGAAGATGAAGAAGGAGAAATAAGAAAAAAATAATATAAAATAGATTTGCTCGATCGTTATCGACCGATCGCGAAACCACTCGAACAGAGAGGATACTTTAGAGTATATATATTATATACTTTGTAAACGCGGGAATCACACGTTTTCTAGAAGCACAAGTCACGCCGAGAGAACGTTTCACAAACGTGTTATCACGAAAAGAAACAAAGAAAAAAGAAAGAAAAGGAAGAAATACGTAGAGTTATCGAAGACGAGGAGAAACGAAGCTTCATTCGCATCGCAAGTTGAAAGAATTTCCTTTCGTAAACGAACTGTCTCTTTCTTTTCTCTCTTCTTGCTTTCTCTCCCCCTTTTTTTTTAACCGACAGTTCGATTGCCCGCGATCGAAGCAAATTCCCTCGTCGATTTTCTTGTATAAAGGCGATTGTAAAATAGCATTTGTTATACTCTTCTTAGCCTGTAATGTAAATTAGACAGAAATCGTCGACACGCTGTGTATATACGTTTAGATAAGCGAAAAGACGGTCGTTTCGGTACCGTTCGATCGTATACCACTTTATAGAAATCGTACACATACACACATACACACGCTAACATAAAGAAACGGAAATCTCTTTGCCACGTGTATTCGATGTTCTCCCTTGGAAACCGGAAACGGACGATCGACCGCCTCTGTCGTTGCGAAGAGTGGAAAAATTGACGGCGGGAGTGGTCCATCGGCGTTCGAGGACGCGACCCGAGCCTACTTTTATTATTCGCTCATTGTTTTCACGCAAATGTATACCGTTTGAGGTTGCAAAGTTGGCTAGCGGATCGAATATACATCTGATCAATTTACATGTTATATCAAATACAATAGAACAAGCTTGAAAATAGCGCGCGTATGTGTATCTATTGTTATTGGTCGAACTGGTCACATATCGATTATCCGTAGACCGCGAATATTTGTGCAAATATTATATTTTTCTCGATACCATCGAAGAGATGGAACCTTAGCAGAGATTGATGTTATCTAAATATTATGACAAGTAGAATCTGTGTGGGAAGGAAACGATATAGCGAGATTAGAAAATTGGTTACGTGTTCGAATTTACACGTTTTCAAAGATAAAATTCGGTTCCATACGAAAATAAGGATTTCGTTATCTTACAGTACGGTGCAATGTTAATTCCGTATTATTTCTTCTTTTATGTATTTGTAATATATATATATATATATATAATATTTCTTTCTCCGACAGTGGTATAAGATGACGAAAATTTTAGGACGAACAGTTTAATACTATGTACCTTTAACTGTTTACACGAAACGGATATTAATAATTGTATTACGTACGAGGACATTTTTTCCAGAAATATATAAACACACCAAGTCTAGTCATTTGATATTTAGCAAAGTACGTGTTATTTTATCGTGCCATTGCGCTAGCCAACTTTCCAGCCGCACGCACGCCAAGCCGCGTTATACGTTCTTCTCACGCTTCACATACATCGATCTTTGCATACGGAAGTCTTGGAACGGATCTCGAATCGACGCGAGGCGACGCGTCACAACCAATCATACGATCACATCGCACGAACGCTAATGTGCAAGGATTTAGGGATGGATCCGCGACGATCAGGCCTCGAGAGATCGATTCGCTACGCCGGTGGCGGTTCACTAGACTTTGATCTACGGAAATGGTATTTTTTGATCGAAGCTTGGTTTCGCCCGCAACCAAATTTGTTTTTAGAATTGGAAATTAAAATATTTGTCGAGTTATCGAAATCGATTTTCGCGATATTGCAATTTAGGTGCTTGATCGTGTTGCGTTTCCTTTTTTATCCTTAGAACGTTTCTTAAGTCCGAAGAGGATAGGAAAGAATTGTTTTTCCATGATTTTGCTGCTAGGTAGTCAGGATGGAATTTCTTGCGACATGTGCAATACTCGATAAATTTAAGATCGATGTTCGTTACGATCAAACTGGTTTACACGAGGTTCTTCGTCTTCGGTAATATTAGCGAATAAAGTTTTCTTTATATAATCTAGATTGCTGTCGATATCATGTCGAGAGTGCATTTCTCGCAGAGGATGCACGACTATCGTTCGACCAATCTTGACAACCGAGATTTCTCCCGTGTACTAGAAAGAGTTTCGAAGCTTTCAGTCTTTCAGTCTCTCGGCTATTTCTTTTAAATAAATGCTTCGCTGTGTGTAGTTTCCTTAATGGGAAAACTGATACACTTACCACGTTTCAGTTTATTGGCATCGACGAGCAAAAATTTTCTTACCAAATTGAAATTTGGCTTCGCCTTCAAACACCGAATCGAACGAATTTAACTTCCGCGTGACTCGTACGATAGAAAATAGAATTCTACATAAACTTTCTCCCGCATTGTAAAACGAATAAAATCTACTAGCATAGATTATTATAATTTGTTATTATAATATGAAAAAGAAAGCTTTTGCGATACGGTTCAAAGGATCAATCGGCCGCTTAAAACATTCGCAAAGATTCGAAATGACCGCTACGCGACAGCGCGAATCGAGTTCTCGGTGGCCCGAAACTTTCCGCGAAAATAAATTTCCACGGGGGGCGGTAGCACGTACGAGCCAACCATCCGTGCGGCCATCCGAAGCACACGTACTTCTATACACGTACACACGTACAAAAGTGTCGCGAAAAGTGGGAAAATTACGGTACAGGGTAATTTGATATTATATGATGCACTACCTCAGAGACAAGGCTTTTTACGCGATATAAAATTTCTAATTAATCGCATTAACGGAGCGAAAAGGAATGGGAAAACGGAGGAGGACGCGCAAGCGCGACCGCGAGAACCACTCGAGATTTTTCGTCGGTGTTTTCGTCGACAGAGGTTTTCCGGTCGCGACGTCCGTTTCACGCGGCTCGAACGTGATAAAACGACCAACCACCCCTTCGTATCTCTCGGAAAACACGCGCTTCACCCTCCGTTTTCTCCCTCTCTTACTCCGGTTGTTTCGCTTTTTTTTCTCTCTCTTAAAAAAAAAAAAAAAAAAAAAAAAAAAAAAAGGAAAAAAAGAAGGAAAAAGAGGACTACTCGTACTTGGCTGCGTTTGTTGGTAGTCGATTGAACTTCTTCTCGGTCGCTGATTCGTACCTGATGCGAGGATTACGCGGTGTTATGTCGGCGACTTGAAACCGATCCACTTTTTCCACGCGTCTAAGACTTCTGTGACATGTCTACGACTTCTTGCCAGGGTGTCGTTGAAAATATCGCGTATTTCGTTACAGTAACGGAACAGAATGGGCGATGAAAATAAGTATGATCGAAAGTTGAATCGTCACGGTTGGGACGATCGATACCTAAAGACTTTGGCGAGATGAGAATTAAATGATAATATTAATTTCGTGACGCCCGGCATTGAGAAGAGAGAATATTGTCAATCGAATACCGATGACGAGTAGATTATATTATTCAGCTTTGTCAACTAATCCTCGTTCGTTCTTATATCAATGGATCGATAGAATGAAACAGAACATTTAATTAGGAAATTTGTCTGGATTTTCAGAAATTACTTCGTTTTTTACTTACAATTAGCATAACTAGTTTACGATTGTTTCATTTATCTACAAGGTTTCAATTCATATGCGATTCGTATTCTTACTCAGAGCCTGGCTGTCAAGACGTTAATAGCAACGGTAAATAAGAAAATACAAGAAACGACCAAAGTTTCGCGATATGTTTCACGAGACACTCGAATCGTGATCGGTCACGAGACTTCGCCGTTCCAAGACACTCTGGACCACGTTTTGTTCCCTTCGCCGAAGCATACTCCTCGAGCATGTGTATATCAGTGTTACGCAACAAACATCCGTTTAATTAGACTCTCCGATTCTCCAGTAAAACAGCTTTTCCTCCTCCTCCTTCTCCTCCTCGAAGAAGAAGCTTTCTGCCGAGCAACTGTCGCGTTACCGTCGAGAACGTCGTTGTCGAGTCTCTCTCTCTCTCTCTCTCTCTCTCTCTCTCTTGTTAAATAGATGACGAGCTATAAACGATTTGTCAGCAGTCAATAGGGTATAATTGAAGATATTCGCGAGTGGAAATCGTGACGACGATCGAAGGCACGAACGAAATATATTATAAATATAATAGAAATCGTGCCTCGTCTGGTAGAAAGGACATCGTTTCCCACGATTTTGACACGCAGCTGGTGTAC